TAAAACAAAATGTTTGTTTTGTTTTAAAGAGAACAATTCAAAGTTATAATATTTATGATCTGATTCCCTGTCCTTTTCTCACTCTGAGTAGAAATTTCCACTGAATTAAATGGGACTGCTCGATTAAGTGCTAGTCAACGTGAGAAAGGATTGCAGAATCTTTCCCTTAGTACATAGCCTTCAAGAACTATATCTTCCTAAATGTTGTGTACAACACCAAGAGTGGTATTATAGCTTGACAAATAATAATATTTTTATTATTTGCAGGGTGAACCTGGATTGCCCGGAGGCCGTGGACTTCCAGTAAGTCATATATGAATGATTTTAATTGCTAGATAGCATGATGGAAAACAAGAAAATCTCTTAACTTAGTTCTCAAGGAACTCTGAGGTAGTAGAGTAACACTTCTATTTTTGCATTGGTACAGATTCAGTTATTCAAAGGCATTTAAGGCACATGCTTTAGAAAATGGAGTCTCTAGTTGATGTAATTTATTTTTTATAACCCCATTACAAAGAGTTCATTGCATTCAGAATAACTGATTTATCTGCATACTCTAAGAGGAAGGAGAATTTCTGTGAATGGATCAAAGTTTTTGAGAACATATTTTCTAACAATTTCGATCTCTTTATGGAAGTGAAGAAGAGCCCTCAGACCGGGAAGTCCATGGTTTACATGGGCATGTTAGCCCAAGAAGGGCCAGGTTTCAGCTCCTTATCACTATATAAGTTTAAAAGTTTGTATGTCTGAAATATGAGTGCACGAGAGAGTTTTTTTTTTTGATGGTGAAAGACACAGCATAATGTGAGAAGAGGATTTCAAAGAGAACTGTTCAGTTTTGAATTCAGAGAGGGCTAAGTATTCAGGTTTGGAGGCTGAGAAGAATTGTCAGGTTCAAGACCTTCCAGAATTGGAGAACTGGATGATTCTAGACATAGAGAAACTGAAATTGTAAAGGAAACCCTTTAAAAAGCTGGGAACTGGAACAATTGGAGGGTATCGTGTCCTGATATATGGCTTCAGGAGATTAAGAATTGATCCTTCCCTGAGACTGGAATTGTTGGGACTAAGTATTAGGTTTGCTCTATTCCATCTTGATCCACAACTTTGTAGCCCTGACTGTATGTTTTCATTTTTAACTGTGACTCATTAATTTTTACTATTATTTATATACAGATTCACTCAAAATGCTTAGGCATAAAAGAAAATGTATTCTTTATCTTGAAGAACAGCTTACATTTAAAAATGTTCAAGCTTAAGGTACATCATTCCATGCAGATATATTCCTTTATTTTCCAAGGATACATGTTCCTTAGCTGAAAATCTGAAACGTAGGACAACTGGAGTACAAACTTGTGACAGCTAGTGGGGTCTGTGTATCCATAACATAAGCAAACCATGGTTACAGAAGTAGCAAAACTGAGAGGGCTGCTAAGCAGATTGAAATAACTGATTTGCCAGTTATTCAGCAGAGTAGATGGTGAAATGATTGCTTAGGACAGTGGTTTGAATTAGCTGCAAAACTAAATAGATAGAATGAAGGAGACAGCTTTAGGTTGCCAGTTCTGTTACTCAGAGGATCAGAAAGAAGTGTGTAAGAAGAAATTTACCGCTTGAGGTGAAAGGTGACTATGAAAAATTAAAAGATGCATTAATGGAATTATTTCAACCTAAAATACATGGTAATGGAATCTGGGCTGCATTTCTATAGATGTGAAACTTGGGGAAAGTATAGAGCATTTTAACTTCATCCAAAGGGAACCTGCAGAGAATGTTGGTTTCAGGACAGAGTAATAGGAGTGCCTGTTGGAAAGGTGGATGTCAGAAATGTCTTAAAAGGATTTCCCTTCCTTTGGAAGCGGAGTTGCTACTGTGAAAAAACATCAAGTATGCATCACTATAAAGGAAACCTCAGTTGTTCAACCTGCCAGCTCCACTAGGAGTGGAATTTATTTGGTCTATAAGAGCTCAAATGGTCCTTGTGAGATTTGCAGAGAACAGATTTTTCACATGCACACACATTGTGGAGGAAGGTCACCAGTGAATTAGAAACCATATTTGGGGGCTGTAAAAGACAGTGAATTAGAAACCATATTTGGGGGCTGTAAAAGTGATCAGTGGAGGTTACCTGAGTATCATGGGATTATGGGCCACTGTTTTGCAGTTCTAGCTGCTAGTGATCCACTCCAGTGTGCCTTTGTAGTGATTGATTTTTTTTTATTGCATTGCAAGCTGCACTGAGCATGCCTAGTAGAACATGTATGGTAGTGTGGTTGGTAAACAGGTATCACTAATATTGGAATGTGGGGTGGCTGATGTTGTGTGTAAAGTTGTGATCTAGAACACAAATATTAATAATTCTCAGATCAAAGGAACTATTTATAGCCAGGAAAGAGGGATATACTGGAGACACCTGCTGTTACTATTGAAAAGTATCATTTCATTGTGGGTAGGTAAAACAAGATATAGCAAATTGCCAGTCCATTTAGTAAATGTGACTCCTGAGTCCCAGATTTTAGGAAAGGATACAGTGTTTGGAGGACTTTGGTGATGGTGATCTGGCACCATGGTCATTAGCATGAAAGAGCCAAATCCAGATAGAAAGAGTTCTGCTCAGAATAAACCTCTCTGGGGTATTACATTCATGCAAGCTTCACACTGAGTGAATGGGACTGAATGCTAGAGAGAATAGGCCTCCTGAAACCCTGGGGTTGGTCTGTTAGACCTCAACTACCAGAAATACAATGAACACGCTACAAAAAAGGCAAATTGGTTGCCATGGTTAGATGAAAATCTGGATGCACTTGTCTTTGTGGGCTGGTTTTCTGCACTGGATTCAGCCAGTGGCCTTTGGTGAGCAGATTAGCCCCCAGATACTCATTCACAGACTTATTTTCTCACAAAAAGGGCAACTTGAAACTATTGAAATGCTGTCCACTATTAGAAAATCAAACATCTTGGTTACTCCTGTTCTTTGCCACTGCTTTTTATGACCATTCAATGGGAGTTTTGTCCAAATTGGAACTGCAGGATTTGGTCCCAATAGAAATGTTAAGGACATGAACTTTACAATAGTTCATATCCATTTTTCCTGTCTCTGTTTCTCTTCTTCTCCAGGCCCTTTTCTGAGCCTCCCTCTCTCTTTCTTTCCATTTTTTCCCTATGTCCCCCCCCATCTCTTTAGTCCTTTTTATTCTTTCATCTTCTGCTCTTCTCTTTTGCGTACTCCTCTCAAGGGCCATCTCCACAAAATTAGTGCAATACTTCAGATAACCACGTCACCAAACAGACTGATTTCTCTACTCTGGTTAGGTCTAGGGAGATTGGGCTACTAGCTACAGTGTATGTATAAGGCCTCTCAAAGTTAGAATATATCAGAGATACATTTTTGTAGCATTTTGTAGATTTGCTTGTCATACAACTTTTTAAATTTATCTAAAGCCAGCAAAGGCTGTTTGGAGCATATTTAGCCTGCAGCAATAAACATAATTCCATTTTGTAGGAGCAGCAGCCCCTTTACTCTGTTAAATGTTTATATATGCGTTAAGCAACCAGATCTAAACCACTTACCATTATCTTTTTAATACCCATGCTTCTGTTGCACTAGAAATCAGAGATTGAGGAAAATGCCAATTATCACATCAATTCAGCGGACTAAAATATTTTTAAAGGAAATAAGGCTGTGAGATAGATTCTGAAATACTAGTTCTTACGATTATTAATCTGTAGTAGTGAGATGTTTACATAGTTTACAGTCATTTGGAGGTGTATTACACTTTTCCTATGTTTTTATGCTCCACTGTATACCTGTTGCATTGTGATTACGTACAGACAAACGTGACAGGCATTTCAAGCATCCTGGGTATAGGTTCATTTTCAGAGCAGAAATTATCTGATTTGGCTCATGTTTTAAATATGGAACTCTTATTCTCCTAGCTCCTTCCAAAGCTCTTTCTTAAAAGTAGTATTTTATAATGTCCCCTTACTTTAACATCGTTCGTTTTAAAACTCCCCAACATTCCCTCACCCTATTGAGTACTTCACACCATTCCATTTGATATTTCCAAGACATGTTCAAATGCTCCAATGCTCCAGTGATTTTTGACTCTTATAGTTCTTCACACTATAGCCTACCTTGCTGCTGCTGTGGCACGATCCCTAAAGCTGTTTCATTTCCACTCCCCTTCCCTGCCTCCTCTTTGTTGGTTGGTGAACTCTAGCTGGAGATCTTGAAGAGGATCTGAGACTTTGGGTTTCATAAGGATGATATTTTAGATGAAGTCAAAGTATCATTTTCATTTCTTCAGATCTGTCAAAAGTATTGCTCATATTTACAGAGGAAGAAAAACAAATTTAAGCAGGATATGCAAGTTATGATATGTAGATGCTACTTGTAATAGAATTGTAAGAGAAAAATGTACTGTACATTACAACATACAATGTAAAATAAGAAACTGAAATAGTGGAAATTTGAATGCTTGTATAAAATTCCTGATTGCAAATTAGATTTTGCTACCTGATATTGTTCAGCAAAATAGATACCAATGGTGGTAATTAGCCAATATTATAAGACATGAAAAATACTCATATTTTCCATTCATATGTAATACATTTTTATCACATACAGTGAAATCTACAGTAAGAACCAACTCCAATAGACATTCCCTGTCTCAAACAACCATTTTAAAGTATCTTCAAGATTTCTAGTACAGTTTTGTACTATCGTTTGTTAAAGACCACTTTCTTCTAAACAAGGCAGTTTAGGTAGTTACTTAAGACAGGATTCCTTGTACTGTGTGTGACGGGTTGAATCACAGAACCCCCCTTGGAAGCTGCCACCTGATGTGCCAAGACTACTTCTGCTCCTGCTTTCCTGCCCTATCATCTTAGGACTTAGTGCCCTGCCTGGTTTGAGCCAGGCTCGCTAGCCTGCTGCAAACCCAGACCCAGGTCTGAATCACATCCCCTAACAGCTGTAGGGTTACCTGAAAGCAGATTACAGAAGTGTTCTTATCTTTAACACTCAGATGCCCAACTCCCAATGGGGTCTAAAACCCAAATAAATCTGTGACTTCATTGGCACTATTCACTTGCATAAAGTTAGGCATATGCTTAAGTCTTACAGGATTGGGGCCGAACCTTGCTATGGAGTATGTATTCTACCTAACAGGAAAAACAGCATTTGTTGCTAGGACATAGCTGATTAAAATAATCAAGAACAACACTGATAGTAAATGTAAACAGGAGCAGCTCGTTGCTTCTCCTGCTCAGCAAGAAGCAGTGGTTTAGTGGCTTTAAGGGACTTAAGAAGGCCTTGAAATAATTGAATTTTTTTCTACTTTATTATTAACCACTACTCATGGAGAAGGAAATGACCACTTCCTTCATGTGTCATCAAGGTGTATCTTTTGGCATAGGTTTCAATGCTTGATAACCAGCTAAACCTATTAGTATTAGTTTCTTCATTCCTTTGCCAGCACATATTTTTGTACTGCAGGTTAGTTTAGTCAAACAAAATTACTGTACTTGCCTGCTGATATTAAGTATCTCATGCTAATCTTTATACTAGATGTTGAATATCAGTTAAAATTGCCAAAATACCTACTCAGCAATATCACATGTCAGGATAGTAATGTTTTAATATTCATTCATTGAAGGAATTGTCACAATTTTGTGTTTGATCACCCTAAATGATCCTATTCTTGGCACCCAACAAGATTAAATGTCAGAAAACAAAAATATTTGCTAACCACATTTTTCTTTTTTCAGGGTAAGGGGATTCTTGGACCAGCAGTAAGTATCATTTTATACAATCTACTGTCTGCGATCGCATAACAAATCAAAGTAATAAAATGAAAAGACAGAATAATAATTTTGGCCCTGATGTTCTGTATCTATTCATACATATTTTTACAACTAACATTTTAGACCATTTTAGTCCTTTGGGTGTACAGATGTGTTTCTGAGGGCATAATTTATCTCCTGTTGCTTTGGGAAGATATTTGCCTGTGTACTTAGATCTCTATCATACAGATGATTGTAAATAATTTATACATATTTCTTTCTTTTACTTGGTTATTGTAGGGTCCCCCTGGTGTAGCAGGACTTCCTGGTGAAGTAGGCCGTGTTGGTCCATCCGTGAGTACTGCATTATGTTTGCCAGTAATTTGCATTTTCTCACTGGCTGAAAGACACTGTACAGAAGGAAATATAATTATTATACCATCCAAACATGGTTTAGGATATGAGAACAAAAAAATAAATAAGTATTTCATTTGATTATTTTTCCTACTGGGATTATAGGGGGAGGAGCAGGTTGGTGGAAATCTCGCCAGAAATAAACAAGAATTAATAGCACAAAGATACGTCCATCTGTAATAATAGACTGAAGTGTTTCAAACAGTATTCCACACACAAAAAGAATGCTAAGGATGCAAAGGAAGTCACTAAAAAATTAGGAAAGGGCAAAGTTAAGGTTGTGGCTGTAGAATGTTAACTTTGGCCCCTGGTGTGTATACATTATGTTAAAATCTTTTATTACATGATCACACACTGGTTCTCTCCACGACCCCTGTCTCATGTCCCTGAATAAGGCAGTTCAATATTTCTTTTGATCATCATTCAGTGTGACCCCATTTACTGCACATCAACCAACCCTGCCCTGATTAAGGATTTTTTTCCCTTTAATTATAGCCTTTTTGTGGCACTGATCTCCAGACTATCTGAATACCTCACAAACATAATTAATTAATTTATCCCCTGGACACCTCTGTGAAGTCAAGAACTATTATTATTCCCATTTTCAGAAGGAGAACTGAGACAGAGAGAGATTAAGGGCTAGTTTGTACAATTTAAGTACATCCCATCCATTCACAAAGCCATGAGGATGGAGCAGTCCCTGTTGTCTCCTGAGCACGTAGCACTTATATTTCACATCTTCAGAGCTCTTTAGAGACATTATGGGTTACACTCTTACTGGAATCAGAGGTGAAACATAGTTCCACCACTCCTTAGGTAGACCAGAAAATAAACTGTAACTCAGAATCTTAATTTCTTTACTTGATCAGGAGTGAGAGGGAGTAGTAGAGTAAATTACTTTATCCCTTTTTGTGGAACAGCTTATTTGCCACTGTTTACATAGATACTCTGACCAGTGAATAGATGTCCCTCGTCCCTGCCCACCTACCCACTTTTTCACAGTGGTGGTTACCAGGCAAATGTTAGTAAGGGCAGGTTCAGCATGATGTCTTGTTTTAGTTGATCGTTTTCCTTCAGTGTGAACCTTTCAAAACACTTTTCGGTCAGTCAAATCAAATAAGAACACAGTTAAAAGGTGAGTCCAATCAATAACCAATAAGACTTGATTTAAAGTAAGACTGTAGTCAGAAAAATGATATAGAACTCCCACAATGCTATTTTTACTGAATTATTCTCTTTCACTTACTTCCATATCAAGTTTTCTCAGTTTTATATATCAATACTGTACTGGTTCTCCAAGTTTATTTCCTTATACTCTACCACCAGACCTGTATTCTTGAAATTTGAGTTTTACTGTTCTAAGATTGGTTGCTTAGTCTGTTCTTTTGTGGTTGCCTCACCTTAGCTGCTGCAGGCCTGAATATACAGCTGTTTTATATATCATTGCCACGAATTAATTAAATTTATTCTAAAATATTAGGGTGATGCTGGAAAGAGAGGTCCTCCAGGCCCACCAGGGCCCCCAGGTCCCAGAGTAAGTGGTTATGTTTAATATATACTAATGTTTGGATAAGTACTGTATCCCTGTGTGACCTATCATTTAAATCAGATTCTGTACCAGATGACTGGAGGATAGCTAATGTGATACCAATTTTTAAGAAAAGCTCCAGAGGCGACCCCAGCAATTACAGGCCAGTAATCCTAACTTCAGTACTAGGCAAATTAGTTGAAACTATACTAAACAACAGAAATATCAGACACATAGATGAACACAATTTAATAAATAGAGATACCTTATCTCCTAGAACTGGAAGGGACCTTGAAAGGTCATCAAGTCCAGCCCCCTGCCTTCACTAGCAGGACCAAGTACTGATTTTTTGCCCCAGATTCCTAAATGGCCCCCTCAAGGATTGAACTCACAATCCTAGGTTTAGCAGGCCAATGCTCAAACCACTGAGCTATCTCTCCCGAGAAGAGTCAACACAGATTTTATAAAAGAAAATCATGCCTCACTAATATATTAGAATTCTTTGAGGGGGTCAGCAAACATGTGGACAAGGATGATCCTGTGGATGTAGTATACTTAGACTTTCAGAAAACACTTGATAAGGTCCCTCACCAAAGGCTCTTAAGCAAAGTAAGCAGTCATGAGATAAGAGGGAAAGTCCTCTCGTGGATCAGTAACTGGTTAAAAGATAGGAAACAAAGGGTAGGAATAAATGGTCAGTTTTCAGAATGGAGAGAGGTGAATAGTGGTGTCCCCCAGAGGTCTATACTGGGTCCTGTGGTGTTCAACCTATTCATAAATGATCTGGAAAAAAGGGGTAAATAGTCAGGTGGCAAAGTTTGCAGATGATACAAAACTACTCAAAAAAGTTAAGTCCAAAGCAGACGGCTAAGAGTTACAAAGGACTCTCACAAAACTGGGTGACTGGGCAATAAAATGACAGATAAAATTCAATGTTGGTAAATGCAAAGTAATGCACATTGGAAAACATAATCCCACCTCTACATATAAAATGATGGGGTTTAAATTAGCTGTTACCACTCAAGAAAGAGATCTTGGAGTCATTGTGGATAGTTCGCTGAAAACATCTACTCAGTGTGCAGAAAAGCTAACAGAATGTTAAGAACCATTAGGAAAGTGATGGATAATAAGACGGAAAAATATCATATTGCCTCTATATAAATCCATGGCACGCCCACATCTTGAATACTGGGCGCAGATCTGGTCACCCCATCTCAAAAAAAGATATATTAGAATTGGAAAAGGTACAGAGAAAGGCAACAAAAATTATTAGGGGGATGGCACAGCTTCTGTATGAGGACAGATTAAAAAGATGGGGACTTTTTAACTTGGAAAGAGACAACTAAGGGCTTGTCTATACTACCCGCCGGATCGGCGGGCAGTGATCGATCCGGGGGGGTCGATTTATCGCATCTAGTATAGACACAATAAATCGACCGCTGAACACTCGCCTGTCGACTCTGGTACTCCACCAGAACGAGAAGCACAAGCGGAGTCAGCAGGAGAGAATCAGCTGTCGATGTACCGCAGTGAAAACACCACGGTAAGTAGATCTAAGTACATTGACTTCAGCTATGCTATTCACGTAGCTGAAGTTGCGTATTTTAGATCGACCCCATGCGGTAGTGTAGACAAGCCCTCAGGGGGGATATGATAGAGGTCTATAAAATCTTGCCTAGTGTAGAGAAAGTGAATAAGGAAGTCAGCTGTCAGTGTGGACAGACTGCAGCACTTTCTCTACTCAGCTGTACGAAGACAGGTTTAACTCACAGCGCTGTACAGCTGGAGGTGTAGCCATACCCCTAGTGTAATGGATGCAATGATGCCTGCTGGAGTCTGCAGACAGCCTAAAACAATAACTCTGAGAGACATGAATTATCCTTTGCATCTCAGTGAAGTGTTAACTCTAAGGCCTACTGCTCTGGTTGGTCCCACCAACAGCACCCAACCAGAGGATTCTGTGTGTCAGGAGGAGAAGTGTGCAGTGGGCCTAGCCCATCAATGCAAGCAGATACACCCTGCCTCCCGGGTTGAGTACTGGGGGCTCACTTGCTGTCACCCCTGCTTCTTCCACGAAGGTGTCCCCTTCTGCCACTTCTCCTACCTCTCTGGGAGGGTGGTTCACCTTCCACTACCACTTCAAGTGGGACCTGGGGCTACTGTGTAGGGTTGGGGCTGGAGCTGTAAGGAGGGGTTAGATTCTTAAGTTGGCGCTGTAGTCCAGTACATCTCTAGTCAGAGCATCAGATGTTTCCAAGTACTGTTTTTGTGATTCTCCTCTGTGGGCCTTTTGAGAGGAGGGATATGTACCATGCAGTATTTTAATTTGCGAGAGGTAGAATTGATGGCAGATCATCATCTGGCAGACAGAGTACATGCTGGGCAATGACACATCAAGTATCTAGGAAATGAGAGTGTCATCTTCATTTCTCTATAAAAGGCTGACCTGCTATCCCTTTGCTAGACAGTCCCAACAGCAATACAGGGATTCTATTTTCTTGAGGCCATATCTCATTTTCCATGGAAAGTTGCTAGAAAATGTGAAGTCGCCATTGTGAAAAATATGAATGATAAAACTGAGAAAAATACCCAGGAAATAAATAGCAACAAACTACACCAGACTCTGCTGCTCCTTCTCTCTTTACACTGAAGATTCCATCCTCCTCAGGCATCACTGCAGTGCACCACCCCCATTCCACTTAAGGCCATTATATTCCCCTAAACTCCCCCAACCTTTCCCAAATATTTGTGCTTCCATGAAAGCCCATCAGTTCTCTCGGAGTCTTATGGTGCTTCCTTACTCAAACAGAAGGCACACCTCTCCATAACAGACTGCCAGATCCTTCCATGAACCCAGACTTGCTCACATGTGGTTACCTTTCTTCCTAACGTACTCCCCAGTCTTCCCTCAGTAGATTCCATGATCCTCTCCTATTCCCATTAAGGCCAGTCCATTTCCTAAGAAACTCATTTTTCTTCTATTGACTGCATCCCTTTTGTACACAGATCTCTAACTTGCAATTCCAATGCCTGATAGAATTATGAATTGTCTATCAATTCTTCTGCTGCGAGAGGGATCCTTTTTTTCTCTAAAGAATTAAGTCTTGTCCTTATGAATGAGATGGTTTTGTTTCGTATTAAATTATCATCAGAATGTAAGAAAGTGCACCTTCATCTGTTTCATTTACCTAGATAACTTCTTTAAGAACGCCAACTCTGAAAACAATTTTCAGTCAATTACAAAGTAGAGATACTTGTGCTGAGAACATAACATAAGATCTGTGGTGCAACTGGACTACATAGCCAACTGAGATATGGGAGCATTTAATACATAGTATTACAAAATCAGATGCAGCTGTTGATATTTAAAAGAAAAATATGCTATATTTACAGAATACACTGAGTTCATATGTGATTATTAGTCTGAAAGTATACAAAAATATGTATTGGATTACTTTAGTCTAATTC